TTCCCCCCCCTCTATTGCTTCATGCTAAATGTAGAATTTAAAGTGTGCTGTCTTGTGCTGGAGACGCACAGAAGAGCCATTTAAAATGTGCAGGCTTCTATTATAAGTCGGAGACGCTGGGGATGGATACAAGAGGGAGAAAGAGGGACAGAGGTTGTGGTCGGGACTGACTGAGTGTGTGCATGATGAAAAACAGGTGAGGTAGAAAAAGAGAAGCTGTGTTAAAGGACAAAAAGGCAACTAATCTGGCAATTAACCTAAACCCCTCCTCCTGAACAGTGATGGCCCAATCATGGCTTAGCAACTGTAACTACATGCAGCAGGTCTGTTGAGCTTATGTATATGTTGAAGCAGTGTGGATGCGACTAAATCTGCTGGCGACAGTTGTCATTTCAGACGACAAAAACACTCACCAGCTAAGAATAAGGAGCCTACATTTGTCACTGTCTGAAATCAAGAACAAAAACAACAACAAAAACAAGTCTGATTCCTGGCTAATCCACCCTGAGTCATTTCAGAATCAGTACATCCAACACCACATTTTCTTCTCCCTTATGGCCTAGAAGCTACGTTTTGAGATCAGGCGCCAGGGAGCAAACCTTTTGCATCTTGAGCTTCAAAAGAGACCAGCTCCCCCTTTGCGAGCACTCATTTATTCTGCCCTTAATTTATTCAGACAGACAGACATCTGGAGAAATCAGTCTGAACTTTCTCAATAGACAGTCTACCCACTGCTCCATGTGAGTAAAGAGAGGTAAAAATGAACAAATCACTTTGAGAATATGGTAACTAGCACTTTGCTTTCTGAAGGATTCTTTTAAGTCTCTCATCAGCTAACATGAACTTCATATAGAGGTACCGAAGTCTGCAAGCATTTCACTTTTTCATGATGCTGATGAGCTGTCTAACCTCACTGGCAGACAGACAATCCTCCAGAGACTAGAACTCAAGTTTGGAAGTGTAGTCCAATCAAAAAGAAAAAAAAAAAAACTTCTTTTAACAAAATCAAATAATTAGGGTTGAGGAATAAGCTTAATTAGAAAGCAGCATAAGAGCCTCACCCTCAGTGTAGTGCAGCCACACAGACACAGGGAGGAAATGTGTGTCGACATGCATAACTTCTTTGAGGGCACGCCCAAAGTGTAACAGCTAAATATATATTATTAAAAATGTGCGATGAATTTACAGTGATTCTTTAGGCACACAGAGTCAACATAAATGTTTCATCGTGTCTACAAATATCTTACATCTCTTTGCATTCTACTTTAGAGCTGAAACAATTAGTCGGTCAACAGAAAATTTATCTATTTTTGGATCGGACAAAACACGCCATCTTGGGCTCTCGTCTAAGCAATTAGTTCATTAATTGAAATTAAATCAGCAGATTAACGGATAATGAAAATACATTGTTAGTTGCAGTCTTATTCTACATAAAACAATGCAAACACATCATCACATACTGTAAATTACTTTAACATACATATTAACATGGTCACCCAACATTACATGCAACACTAGTACCCCCCAGATAAGGAATATAGCCTTTAAAAGAAGTGTGTGCGTCTCCGTGTACATGTGTGTCTGTGCGTCTTCACCTTTCTTGCAGCTAGTCATTCATCTCAGTTTGACAGTCCCATTACCAGAGGCAGCTACTGTGGCTCAGAAAAGAGCACTAAGAGCACTGGGAGCACCAGGAGCACCAGGAGCACCAGGGGTAATACCACTTAGCAAAGCCATCATGCTGACGCTTACTTTTTCTTCCATTACAATTAGCATCATGCTAATGTTTTCTATTAAACAGTCAATCAGTCTTGTGTGTATCATAATAAAAATAATTTGATAAGGATTTTAACCCCATTCAATAACAAAAAATCCTTGCAACAACTTCACATTTAAAATTACTATGCCCAGTGATACATAGCTGTCCTGCAGGGAGAAGCCCCTGGCTGCGACAAACAACTTGTCGTGGTTGTGCAGAATCGCAGCTGTAATTGTTTTGGGACTGCGGCTGCTGTCCGTCTTGTCGAGAAGTATTTTGGAGCACTTGTTTGGCAAGACGCTTATAGCTGCCAATTCACTGTCACTCTCAGCACCCAGCTAGTTACCACTTGTTTCAGAAAACAGCTTACCAGTAGCATTTGTCATTGTTGTCCAGTAGTTTCTCCACCATGTGCTCCACTCGAACGAACCAGCTGGGGACGGCTTTGTAGATCAGGGGCGTGTCAGACCTAAAAGTACATTACAACACATTAAATAAAACTTAATGCTGCAAAATACTGACTTAAAAGAAATCATTTGCTGAATAATACTGAAATAATATTGCAAAGAATTTTGAAAGTCATTTTTTAAAATGTATTTCTCATATTGTATATTTTGTTATATTTTATTCTGCTGTTGATCTGCTGTATTGATCACTGAATTCCCTTTAGAAACTGAGCTGGTACAGTCAATAATAGGTGTTTTTAGTCACACTAGCAGCACGGCTCCGGGAATGGAAGAGTTGCTCAATCAGTCCACCTCTTTGGTTTAGACTGAACTATCAGTTTTTCACTATCATAAGTCTATCACCTTGTTTGACTCCTTGATATGTTTTAACAGTGTTTCACAAATTTTTGGTTTAACAAGCATTATTTCTGAGGTCTACTTTACAGAAGTTATGGTTAATAACAGTTTCATCTCTTTGAGCATGTGTCTCCTAGTGGCTTAGAGAGCATCTCTGCATATTTACTGGGTTAATTAATCCTGCTCAGGTCAGCCTGCAGCTGCTCCAGGGGAGTGAGTGATTTAGTCTGCTCAAAAAATAAGTTTGTGTGTGTGCGTGTTCCTGTTAGTAAGGATGTGATAATGTGGGACCTTGAGACAACTTGTGTGTGTCACCACACTGACACTGGCTTTGAGTTAATTCTGTGCAGAGACCACAAAACTTCTACTGATGTCCTGTGTTGATGCTCCTGAGGCAGGCATGAGCACAGACTGTACTGAACACTGAACTGCAAAATATGTCTTCTACCACTAAATAAGGCTGCCTGTATTGAAGAAGAAAATATAATATTTAATTTGTACAGGCCTAACATCTGTGACCTCTAACCCTGATCTTCAGCAGGTGGGCTTATTTAATAAGCATTGTTTTAAGGGTCCACAGTGGGAGAATCAAAGTGAAGCTGTTAGTTTAATTGATTTGGAAGGAGCCACTCTAACACTGCACAGAGGTAACATTAGTTTTACAGTTTGAATTCTGTACACGTCTCACCTCCAGCAGAACGGGTAATTATGTTTGAAACTACTGGCGTTGACGAGGCGACCTTTCTCCTTGAGCCACTTGATGATATTCTTGTCAGCGTCCTATAAATGAACATGAAAACAATAGACATTATTTACAAAATGCAGCTTTAGAGAGTAACTTAATACCAAGGCAGGAAAAAAAGTGTTTCAGTGTCCTCAGTGGTTGGGTCTGGTCAGAAGTGTGCAACTATGATGTCACAGTGTACCCACGCACTCTGGAGCACATCTGTACATCATTGCTGCAAGGTGAGACGTTAAAAAAATATGTATATGTATATTAAAAGTGAGAATATTTTCATGGTGATGATACTGACAAGATTCTGAAGGTACATTTGCAACCCAAGCTTTTTTAAATTAAGCATTCTGGGTAATCTGCTGCATCACCATTACTCTTTAGCACCATATTTTTCTTGTGTTTATTATAACCTTCAGTGAACAGTTTCCTAATGGAGCAAATCTTCTTTAAATACACTATTTGTTTTTTTTTGTTTTTGCTACACACTGGACCTTTAAATAGTTATCTTAAACATTTGTCCTTTATTGCATTTTATTGTATGGTATATATCACATTATATTATTATATTTGGTTCAGGCCAGGGGTTCCCCTGTAGGAATTCTACAACCACAATCTATAAAAAATATATTTTTGCAGCAATTTCTCATATTCCTGATATCTTTACTTAGAATCTTGTGTGTAAGAGAGGTGCAAAGTGAAACGGTAACATGGTAACATCACTGGCAGTGTGTTACCCAGCTATGGCTACAGTTAAGGCAAAACATTTGTTCTACCTTTCCTTTCTTACTAGGTAATTTTTCATTTATTTTTTTATACAAATTTTGTCCTTCAGGTTGGAACGCTCTGGGTCCTTGAAGACACCATGGCTTCATACTTCTCTTTAAGAAAAAATACAGCCACGGTCACAGTCTGCTCAAACAGCAATGATAAATATCACCATCCAGGTAAGCAGAAATTGTCCGTTTTGTCATCCAGCTGACTGTTTATGGCAAACAATCGAATATGCAATCAGCCCAGTGCCTTATCACACACTATTTCATCTCCCTCTAACCAAGCTCACAGCGTAATTCACAGGAAGCTCATAAATATGACTTTTCAGCGAGGTGTTTGGCAGACTGTTGGTCGTGACCTCTTTGTAGAGAGAGGGGCTTTTAAACTTCCTCAGCCAAGAGTAAATTTTGTTATGCCCTGACCCAGGCTCATTAAAACATGAAAGTACACCTGTGATGTGGAGTCTCATTGGAACTTTGCCTGCAACCCATCGAGAGAAAAAACCCATTTCACCACCTGGCCAACTGAGTATAAACAAGGGTTACTCGATATGTTTCTAGATTACTAACACATATTTGTGACTCTTTTAGAATCTCTTTGTCACAAACGCATATTTAATCAGTAGAGATACCAGTTCCAAAACACTTCCCCAACTCAGCTACCAGACTCAGCCTGCCTGCTGTGGAAAACAGAAGGCAGCCATTTTATTTCTTAGTGCCACATTTAAAATGTATTTACACGATAAAGTAAAAAGCAAAATACTAAAATTATTGTAATTTACTGGACCTGACTTCAGCACATTTAATGTGTTGTGGGTTAAAATGAGGGTTGGAGAAAGTAAAGAGATGGCTAGGAAACAGACAGAGAACAAGACAGCTGTAAAAAACAGTTGTACAGTATAGACTAGTAAGAAAAGACATTAAAGACGGGAGAAAGAAAAATGATCAATGCATTATTTTGTATGCACTCACTTCAATCTTTATTAAGGAACAGTAGTTACATTGGTGTAAATGGTCAATAGTTGTGTCTTGTCAAAACATTTGGAATAATCAGGGGGCAATGTAAAGACCAGTGATAACATTAATGGCATTTGTTCTGCTTTGTTCGGGTTGAGACATTACAGCAAGACAAAGTGTTTTTTGTAAAGGAGGTGGGATCTTGACGTTGCTTCAAGAGAAGCAGTGACGAAGAAAAATGATCAGACGTAGCAGGGGTTGATTTGACAGGGAAAAAAGGGAAAGTGGATTCAGTGCTGTGGTGCTGTAGGGAAAGGAGTACAGGCTATGACTAAGGAGACCTGTACTGTAGGAGACAGGGTGGAGCTAATTAGGGAAAGGCAAAAGAAGTGGCAGGAAGGTTGTATAAAGATAATGATGTAAACTTTGAAGTAAAATGGACTGGGAAGAACTGGGAAGCAAGCAGACATTGTAAGCAAAGACATACGCATAATGGGGTCAGGGTGTGGTAAAGTAAGTAAGGGCTGGGTATCAAACCTCAGTACTGCTTGGGTACCGAGCGAAATGTGTCTCTAGCGCCAAGTACGCAAAATTGTCAAGTACAGAAAGCTAGCATCAAATGTTTGGTCAGATTTATAATCTTGTTTCCTTATTTTTTGATCAGGTACTTCCTGATTTTTTAACTGAATAAAAATGAATCACAACATTTTAGGCAAATTTTGGTGTCCGTACTGAAACTCGGGTCAAATCGCCATTGGTAGCAAAACATTTCATACCCAGACCTTGGGAATAGGGATGGTAAAATAGGGAAAGAATGGGTAAGATAGGGAAGTCTTTTTCACTATAATGAGCTGATCTCTCTGCTTCATACTGCTCTGCTGGTCTTCTCTGTGGCTGCTTTGGACTTGTGGCTCCTTTCATCCTGGATATTTAGACATCTTTGGCAATCCCAAGCCTATGCTCCTCCCCTTCCAGCAGCTTCCTGTAGGTGGCGATCTCAGCATCCAGCTTCAGCTTAATGTGCAGGAGTTCCTGGTAGTCTTGGAGATACTTGGTCATTTCCAGTTTGGTTTCGCAGAGCTGGGCCTCCAACTGAGCAATGACACCCTCGAGACCCCCGACCTTATCCATGTGGGACATCTCCATCTCCTCCAGCTGCTGCTCCAGGGCTGCGTTGCGAGCCCTCAGACCATCGATCTGGTTCTGCAGGTCTGTCACTTGGTTGTGGAAGGTCGTGATCTCGTCTTTCATGGTCTTCATTTGCTCCTCGTGTTTGCCAGCATGCTCCTTCAGGGTGTCAAACTTGCTCTTGTACCACTTCTCAGCCTCCTGGACATTGCGGGCAGCGACAGCTTCTATTTCTGCTCGCATGTTGCGCAGATAAGCAGCAAGGTCAGGCCGATCGCCATCCAAATCTGCAGTAATCTTTGAGTCCTCAATCTGCTTCATGAGGTCAGCCACCTCTTCATCATGCAACTTCTTGAGGAACTCTATCTCAGCCACCAGTTGCTCTATACGCTTCTCCAGCTCAGCCTTCTGCAGTGTGGCATTGTCAACATCCTGGCGAAACTCCCTCAGGATCATCTCTGCCTCTTCTTTGAGAGCCAGCTCCTCCTCCAGCTTTAGTCTCCACACTTCAACTTCTTCTTCGATGTAGCCTCGTTCTATATCAGCTGCCCCCTTCTCATTAGTCAGGGCTTCAATCAGGTCCCGCACCTCTTTAAACTTGAGCTCATATTCTTCTCCGAGGCCTGTGGGGCCTCCCTTGTAGCGGCTCTGCAGTGCAGCCAGCTCAGCGTTGAGAGCAGCATTTCTCTGCTCTAAAGCCTGGACCTTCTCGATGTATCCTGCAAATTTGACATTGAGTTCCTGCATCTCCTCTTTCTCGTTGGCATGTTGCTGATGTATCTCTGTGCCCACCTCGATGGCAGTGCCTCGATAACCTGAGCGTCCACGGCTGTCAAATGAGGATCCACGGCACCGGGAAGGCGACGGGCTCTGAACCCTTACTCTGCCACTGGAGCCGCTAACCTGCAGGCTCTTCTGGGTGTAAGACGCAGCTCTCATGTTGTGTAAAACACTGGGTTTGTTTCTTAACAGAGGAACAGCTGCTCTCTCGACTTTCTCTTTGTGTAGCCCGTGTTGCGACTGACGCTCTCTCAGATCACCTCTGAGTTTTTATACGGCAATAAAGAATGTCTCAGACAGTCTTGAAACTCGCGCTTGGTTTTAACATATTTCAAAAGGGGATTATGACAGACTTTCAGTGAACTGTAGCTGCACGCTCTTTATTAGCTAACGCTGTACTGTTAGTGGCCATGTGGGTCGAGTCCACTCCCTGGCCTTTGCGCCAGGATGTGAAATAGTGATCAGATCATGTATGACTGTTATTTTTCACTTACTATCCACTTAAGATGGTAATGAAGTTGGGTGTGACATGGAGGAAGAGGGCACCCAGTGCACTAGTAAACAAGGACAATGTGCTTTGGCAGCAGGTTTTCCTACACAACTTTGTTTGACGCAGATTCCCTTAACTCATGACATGTACCTAAAGAATAATTATATTATATTATATATATATATATATATATATTAATGTATATTCATTGTAATATTAATAAATATGAAATAACATTTGTAAAATATTGAAAAGTGTTCTTATTTGACTTACCACATAATTATATGTTATTATAAGTATTAAACCTGACCAAGAAGAAAGGGCACATTTCAGTGCAACTGTTCGGAATAGAAAGATGTATTTTCCAGATATAAACAAAGGAAAAACAGAGGCATAGGAGAGAGGGTGCCCAGAAGGTGAGAAATTAAATGCTGAATTAATCTAGCAATCAATATCATTGAGAAATGTATCCCGTGTATCCTACCAGTCACTCTCACCAGGGGTAGAATGCCTGAAATGTCTGCTAACCTAATCTACATGTAAATGTCTGATGTGTCACTCACTTTGACATACTGTCCCGCAAAGTCAGTGACCTCTGAAGTGAAGCAGCCCGAGGCGTCCACAGGGCAGATAGGAGCCTGGTCCCTCCGGATGATGTTGAATTCTGTGCACACCCTGTAATCATCCTACGGAAAGAATAATACACAGTTAAAAGGGTTTAGTGAGTGACGGTACTCCTATTTTCCTATTTATTTCTAATGTAAGTCACTGTAAAATAAATAAACATTGTAACTAGTGCTGAAATGATTAATTGATTCATTAATTTGTTGACTGATAGAAAATTAACTGCCAATAATTTTTAAGTCTTATATTATAGTAAACTTAATCTCTTGAAATCTGTTTGTAATTAACATGATCTTGATACAGAGAGTCATATATTTTAAGCTCAGGTCATTTGTTTCAATAGTATTCACCAAATACATCAAATTGTATATGAAAATAAGTAATTACCTAACGCGTTTAGCAGCCAGTGACGCTAGTTTAAAGATATGTTATGACTTCATATTGAATTCCTTGTTGAGCTGGACACTTTTTGCAGCATTGAAACAAGCAGCGCTGGTATGTGACAGCTATGCATGAAAGATCTGAGTGCTGTCCAGCTGTAAATGTATTTTGTATTCAAACACCCTGTCAAGATCCAAGATGGATGGCTCACAGGGTCATTTCACATCTAGTCATAACAACATAACATTTGAAAAATGTAGTTCTGCAACACATTTCTTCTCACTGTTAATATCTTTAGAGGAAATGCATTTGTGTTTCAGATTTTCACCAACTAATCAATGTGAATGTGATCACTAAATAACAGAATTTAAAAAAAAAAATCTAACATTTAAATGCAAATGTAAGTGAGATGCTGATGTGAAAGGTTTACTCAAAAACCCCATAGGGACTGAGCTCCATTGAAATAGGCCGAGAGTGCAAAAGAGAAAGCTAAGACTGAGTGTGTCCACAGCTGGCTACAGCCACAGGGGCGTCCATCTGCCCTTGACAGGGGCGTCTAACCTATTAGCAATGACCCAATACCTCTGATAGTGCTGTAACATTGGCCTCTAGACTGTGGGAAAACACAGATACTGTAGCGTTCAATACAAATACTTAAATTCTCTTCAATAAGCAGTGAGTACAGTACACCAAATGTATTAAAAACATAGGAATTATCAGGAAAACAAGATGGAAGGTATTGCAATATTCTTAATTAAATGGTTTGCCCAAACAAGACCGATTAGTCTTGATAAAATGCGCTGGCCTCGAGTTTTGAGCCACCAAATGTATTAATGATTAATAAAAATATAATTGCTATCATTGTTAGTTATGAACAAATCTTGTTTAGAGTGGCATATAAATCAATGTCTGCATGTGTTAACTCAAGTATACAGGAGTAAAACCTTCTGCAAAATCAGAAAACATAAGAAATAGATCATAACTGAATTGAGCTATAATGGTAAAGGCAATGCTTTTAGAGGAAATGATAGACTGAACAGTTCTGGATACACTTTTTTAAGCACAGAGTTACGCTCGACATAGGTGACCTTGTTTTCCAACTGAGAGTGCACCATATGCGCATCTGCAGCAGCGAGCAATCAGGCTTACTAAAAGCAACGTTTCAAAAGTACAATTCTCAACTCGAGGAAATGAAGTGACGTATAATTAAAGGGAGGAGGGTGGGCGCAGTGAGATGGACAGTAGCATGTGTGACAGTGAAAGACAGGATCAATGGTGAGGGCTGCACACAGGTCAAACTAGCCACCACAGTTCACTAAATCTGTGCAATTCTACATTTAAAGCTGTATAAATGTATACATCTTGTACTCTAGCTAGTCTCTGCCTTGTCTGAATCTTTAAGAGTCTTGGTTGTTATGGGTCCTGATGTCTTGATAGAGAGTCCTGACTACCAAGACTATGAAGTAAATCCAATATTCATTAGTTTTTAAAAACACTTGTTAGGAGGTGCTAATTTTCCCAATACTTGCAGTTGTTATATCATGGACTTAACTAATAACGGACTATTAATGAGTAATTTGCTGTTTTCTGTTTCAATCATTAATCCTTGTAACTTTAATATGTTTGAGTTTCTTTGGTCACAGTGAGAATTGCAATGGGCATTTATTATTTTATCATTTATATTTTTAACATTTCATAAACCAAAAGATTAATCTCTTCATCAAAAAAAAGTATTAATGGTAGTAGAAGACACTACGTAAACCACTCTGTGGTTACAATAGTGACTGAAAAATAAAAGGAGGAAAACGGCTCACTCACAGCTCCAAAGTAAGGTGCCTGGTGGACCACTCCTGTGCCGTCTTCCTCCTTCACGTAGTTATCAGTCAACACCTGGAATGCTCCTTTCTCGCCACACTGAAGTGAAACGAGGACGAGGAGAATTAGATGAAGTGGGGGGTTGGGTGGGAGGTGAGGAAGCAAAAGAAGACACAGATAGTAAGAGAGAGATTAAGAGACAGATTTAGAAAATGTAAACTGAGATGCCAATTTGTGGGCAGACAGGTAATTACAGTGAGACATAGATCTGTCTTCATGAAACAACCAGGAACAAGAACACAGTCTACAAACCTTGGCAAAGTACGGGAAAAGAGGCTTGTATTTTTTCCCTTTCAGCGTCTTGCCAGGAAATCTAAAAGCACATAAAACATCTATATCAATATCTCTAATTCCCTGCACTGACAAACGGGCAGAAAACATGTAAATCCACAACAGATAGGCAACACTTCAAATACAGAAAACACTGACCAAAATGGTTTCATTAGCATTTTAGCATACTAACATTTGCTAATTAGCATGAATGTTGGAACCAATCCATGGCAATCCATCAAAGAATATTTGAGACATTTCATTCAAAGCCCAGAATCTCAACCTCATGGTGGCGCTAGAGGAAAGGTCAGGGGCTCCTAAAGTAGGCAGGATTCATCTTTTGGAAATCACAAATGTCTGAGATTTCTGGACTAAAGTAGTGATTTAAACTAATGACATCTATTTTTATTGACAGTTAATATTCTTATAAAAACATACTAGAGTTGAAAATCACTAAAATGTTAAATATTACAGAAGTTAACAAAGACAGCGCTCCTTTGTGTGAAGATAGTGTGAGGTCTCCATCAGTAAAACCTAAATGTGATTTTAAGGTTTTAAATGGCATGTCTAAATGTTTTTATATACCTTTTTGTAAAGAATGTCACAACAATGCTGTTGTTCTCAAGGTTGATATAAATTTCTCTTGAAGAAACCTTGACTTTAAGCATCTTCTCACTTTTGAAACCAAACCTACACCCTTGTGATGGTCATTATAGAAATTTAATTTTCTTGGATGGGATATGGTTTCTCCTTGAGCATTCCCATATTTCTTTTTGTTTTTGATGGGGACAAAAACATCTTCAGGATCTCCAGAGATCTCAATTTAAGGTTAAGGTTTGTCATGACACACTGTTTCTGTAATAATCATTCGAATAAAGACGTCTCTGCCCCTGTGTATGGGAACTTTATAGAACAAGAAATCCCTGCCACATTTTTTTAATATGCCTTCTTTATTGCCAGTTAATTTGTCCAGTATATGAGATGAGTGAGTATAAACCTTTCCATCAGGTTGCACTACCCTCTGTATTCTTTATTTTTTCCCCTGCTTCATTCTGCACTTTCCCTTTGCTCCAGAATCATCCACTGAATCAGGAAATTCACATCTGCTAATTCTCCCGTGAGGAACTTTATCCTTGTCTCTTTACTCTGGCAGACAAGTTATAACTCAGGAGAAAACCTTTCACAGAAATGCAATGCAACAAGACAACAATGAACAATTAATACAACATGTATTTTTCCTTCCACTGTGTCTTTTAGGGTCTTGTGTACTTACTTGTCCAGGACAGTGTACTCGCTCTCAGACTTAAACAGAGCACCCAGCCTGGCCTCCATCATAATGTAAGTCTTCTCTGTGGCGTTATCTGAGAGATGAACAGTAAAACACACATGAATGCATTTGTTGACTACATTTTCACACATCCCATCCCTCATTGTTATTTTTTTATTACTACTCAGACACATACCAAACTAAAATGCTGTTATTTGTATATTCATTGGTCCATAAAGCATAAAAAGGGCAAACAGGCCAAAAACAAAACAACAAAACAAAATGGAAGACATAAAAGATACAGATACAGTAAATATGAGGCCAAAAAGATTTGGGGGGATTGAACTAGAAGAGTAATATTTGAA